AAAAATAAAATATGCAATATGCACAATATGCAGGATTTTTCGCCACCAGGGGTCGCTATCTCTTACAATAACGAAGGCGTATATTGATGACGTATATTCCGCATTAAGCATAATTATGGATCTTGTCGTCAAGCTGATGGATCTTTTATGGATGAGTGAATACATTGATGTTTTTAACATGACTGTGGTGTGAAGCAGGGCGCGATTGCTAGAAGTATAACGTTACCAGCGCCACACGCAACGCAAGTCCCGCGGATATATAAGAATAAGGACATTTCATTCTACCGAACTACACGCAAGTGCTGAATTAATACTCACACAGGTCAGTTTATTAGAGGAATTAAACTTGAGGTAACGCAGCGCTGTTTCACTTGCTCTAACAGTTACACTATCACACTAAACGGCATTTGAGTGTGTTGAATGTTGTTAGTTAGGTTGTTTGTTGGCTGTATGAGACTAAGCTAGATCAACATTAGAATAACATACAGATCATATTCTAACATTTCATCATGTTGAACTAAATAACATTGATTAGTTTTATGTACATTTGCTCACCTGCCTAATAAAGTAACATGCAACGCTCGCGTCTCTGTCGAGTCGAAGTTAGCCGCGGACGTGGAGCTCTCGACATCTCGAAAGATGTTGATCCTCGTTCAAGTCCTCTTTTTGTCTCAAAGTCTGCTTGCCATGGTCCATAATGTTCGAACAAAACAACAACAGCGTGAGCGTCCTTCTAGGCATAACCGGCAATAACCCAGTTGTCAACGTCTGTCGCCATGGTTAGTATGGCAGTACTGAGGTCAAACCTGGCGGAAACCGAGGCTAACGCGGAAATGACGCCATTGACTGGCGACTCCTCCCCCCTGCTCACACGCCCCGTTTCCTTGGTTAAAATCGCAATTTTCTCACCATTTACAAAAAGTTGGAAACATTTGGGATATTGTAAGTAATCAACTAAACAAAATATATAACAGTGGCCTAGTGGTTTTTGGATATTTTACTGCAAAAATCCTACATATTGTACCTTTAATGCACTTTGAACTAACACTTATTGTAAAGAATGCATATAATCATTTACACTATGTTATTATTTCATACCATTTAAATGTACAACAACACTGGGGTGCAAATAGTACCTGCCACTATTTAGAAGTATAAATAGCATAATTACTATTTACACTTATTGCAAAGGAAATACTGCTATTTTGACTTGTAAATATAATCTATCACTATTTTCACTTAGTGTAAATAGCAAATCGCTAAGAAAATGCTGCTATTTTGACTGTGTTAATAGAATCTATTGCTATTTGTTCTTAGTGTAAAAAGCATATATCGCTAAGAAAATACACAGTTTTCACTCAGTGTAAATAGAATCAAGTTGCTAGTTACACTTAAGATCACTGAGGTTTTGTGAGCAAATGCAAAAACTCTTTTTTACATTGCCAAATAATTGTTCCTCCCATCTCATATTTGTTCCTTCACCATGTCCCCTTAGGAGCTCCTTAATTTCTATACCCTAAATATAAAACAAATTCAAACAAAAACAAGAGAAAACACAATAAGAAAATCATGTACACTATCATGGATTGTAAAACACATTCAAACCTCCTTATTAGCAGCATTTATCAACAAAAAAAGAACCTTTTTACAAGCCACGATAGTGTGCGGGATATTTTTTCTTTTTGTCTTTATAACAGTTTTGTCTAACACACTTAGAGCTTTCCTGGTGTGCAAGGTGCATTGATTTATACATTTTTGGAATAAAACAGCTCTCATACTTTTCTAGGCTAGCTAGAATTTAATGTTTCCTAAAAATGTTTTTACATGTTTTGGTGTTATTTGTGTAAAAATTAGTAAAAATCATTTTTCACACAATATTGAAATGGTTTATTGTTCTTTGTTTAGCTCTTTTCAGTTTTTAAAAATGTATCAATTAATATTTCTATACATTTTCTTATTTTGAGATAACAATAATACTAAAAAACTAAAGACATTCGTGGATTCAAGGCATAGTAAAAAAAAAAAAAAAACAATTAAATAAAAATTAAGTAAGGAATAATTGACGACAGGCCGTTGAATTATTAGAAAAAATAATGCACACCCGAGGTGGCAATGCGGTCACGACGCGAAGCGGAGTGGCCGTTACACCTCGGGTGTGCATTATTTTTCAAATAATTCAACGGCCTGAAGTCAATTATTCCGCTTATACTACAGTTACCACACCTCAAAACATTGTTTAGATGATGCATTTCAAGACGTTTGTCAAGTTTTTGTCATTAAAACGCTCTTGTATGTAGGACTAATTTCTTACGCATCTAATCCCATGCCTCCGTTGCTAATTGATACAATCTGTTTTGTTAAAGCGCTATATAAATAAAGGTGACTTAATTCCAAAACGTCATTTTAGAGTTAGTAACGGAGGTTTGTGCCACTGATTGCAGACTAATGATGGACATACTTACGACTTGCTGAAACATTCGAAGACTGACTGTTTCCATCGACTGTAGCAGGTCTTAAACACAGACTGTGAATAGGCTACAGACTGAACGCGCTGAACACGCGTTTGGGCATGATCAGTCATAAGTATCAAATTACATTCATAACTGGCCTTAGTCAGTGTGTCCCGGCTTTATGCAGTTATTAATGCCGTTATTAGAGAGAGGGAGAGAGAGAGAGAGAGAGATGTTGCAATAATGAGACAGAAAAGCATGTGCGTCAATATTATTATTTATTTATTAATTAAATTTGTTTTAATTAATTCGTTCATTTTTGTTTTCTATAATTGACAGTAGATAACCCAATAAATGAAACACACAAAGCCCTTTTAACAAGTAGGCCTATCAATAATTATTTATTTGTTATATTATATCTGGAATAATTACGAAAACCCAGCAGGACTATCAATTTATTTATATAGCCTATTCAATTTAATTTTCTATTTAGCCTATAGATAGGACTACATACTTTATTTATTAAAATTAAACTGTATGTGTCCATTGATTGTGAAGTTAGACATAGAAAATTGCAGATCAAGCGCATGGGGCTGCATGTTTTTTCTTGTTATGAATTGTATCCTATTTTCCGTTATTACAGTTAACTGCGCGAAGTGATATGGAACTGTAATGCGGTCAAGACCTGCCTGGAACTACTTTAGCCGTGCGTTTCCCTGAAAATAATTGCACACCTTAGAACGTTCTCAACCAATCAGAATCAAGCATTCAACAGCCCTGTAGTATAATTAGTTCTAATGGAACTCAACCCCTGGAGTTTAAAAAATATATATGTATTTAAGAGAGTATTTTAACAAAACCATCCCTCTGTAATATTATTATTATTACGTAATAATAACCATTTTATAAAGCAGTATTGTGAACAGAGTCACAGGTAAAGCGGTCCGGTTGTGTATTGTGCCTAACAAAGACTATATTCCCACTATAGCACAGCCTCTGATACACTGATACACTATACTTCAATATGACCCCTGTGAGTGATTAATGAGCTGAATGAATAGTGTGCGGTCACAGACGGTCCACGACGCTCTCCGTCAGAAAAGCCCGAGAGTCAAATGCACAGTCGGTGGCGAGGGGCGCCTCGGTCAGTGTGGACGAGAGTGACGGACAGTAATTGACTTTGCACGGAGGGGCTGACAGTGGCAAGCGTGCAGCAGTACGCCGGATAATCTCATTACGCTGATTGTCTATTTGAGAGCATTACGCTGGGATCTGACGGAATTATACATGTTGGGCTGAACATAATGAGCGGCGTGTAATCCCCGGTAATCAAAGACTGCAGCGCCGCCTCATTCCTCCCTTAACCAGCAGTAACCACCACACAACTGATTTAACACGCCACCAACACTCACGCGTTACAGAGCAAAGGGACTGAACAGGAACGCTGGAAATAAATGATATAGAGAAAGACAGCAAAGGGTTTGCTTTTACTTGGTTTTGAGGAAGTTGATGTGAATGAAATAAAGTGCATACTGAAGTGTTCCTGTAAATGCCGTACATGCACTGCCATCTAGTGGTCAGAGAGAAGGAACAAAAACAACAAGGATGATATTTCATAAAATAGTTCAATTAATGCCTACGATGTAATCCATAAACCTTCATAAATGACATTTTAATGTCTAGAATTTGCCTTCTTTTCCAGGGAGGAAAGAAAGCCATAGACTGGAATGAGACTCAGAATACCTCAGCATCTACATAGCAAAACCCTAGCAACATCCTTGTATCATAACTACTACTTTTGAGACTTTTTCTTCAGAATGAATTGACAATAAATACTGAGAATATTTATTGTTATTTTTACAGATTTAGAATTAACCTTTTTAATTTAAGTTTTCATTTTAATTTTAGTTGTAGTCATTTAGTTATTTCTATTTAGCATTAGTTTATTTTTATTCCACTTTAGAAATGTGAGTACCTCAACGTTTATCTGAGTCATTTTCATCTATGTTTATTACGTTTAACTTTTTTATCTAATATTTATATTTTACATCAGCTTTATTTCAATTAACGAAAATGATTTGTAATAGTTTTAGTTAAAAATAACTGATATTTATCAGCCATAACTATTTCTTACTAGTCATGAAAACGTATTTTCGTGTCCCTATAACAAATCTATATTAAATACTTAGAGTTATTTAGTCATGTCACTTTCAAAATCACTTTAAGCTACAGTCTCTCGCTATAAAAGTAAGCAGGCACAAAACCGTCGAGACCTTTATTGAGTTAGTTCTTTATATTCTCTCTTTGGTGACACAGCGTTAACATGTCTCTCCACACAGAGTCCCCGAGTTATGACAACGAGGTCTTTTGGCTTCCTAGAAAAATGTCAGATAGTACGACAGTACGTGAGTCTTTAGAAGAGCTTTCTTTATAACAATGATTTAATTTTTACCCTCATTTGGCGCTTGGCAAGTGTTCATTTTGTACCCTGTGTGTAGACAGTCAAACGCCAACATGTAAGAATGTAAGAAGAGAGATCATGTGACTTACTCGGTGTGGCCTTGGAAGACGTTCACAGAGTGGATGGAGGGATCTCTGAAGTCCCACAGGCGGAAGGTGGTGTCCCTGGATGAAGTCACCACCAGACGTTGGGTGGGATGAGTACAGCAGTGGGTCAACTCTTGGTCGTGACCTGCAAACACACACACACACGTGTAAAACAGAGGTGTTTGACCTTAAAACCCTGGCAAAGGAAACCACAAGAGCAGTGACATGTTCACCTGTGAGGGTGTGCACCAGCTCAGAGGTTTCTACATCGTAGAGGTTAGCGGCTCTATCCCAGGAGGCAGTGACCACCTGCTTCCCTCCCACCAGCCAATCCGCTGCGATCACCACGCCCTGGTGGCTCTTCAAGGTCGTCGTTGCGACACGGATAGTGGGACATTCGTTGGGCCCTTCTGCCTCCCCGTCGGCCTCGTCTTTATCAGAGAAGTCCACGTCATCGTCCAGCGAGGCCTAATTCAGAGAGCAAAGAAGAGTCAACACACAGGTATGTTAAAGAAAAGAATGGATTTAAAACTAATTCAGACTTTGAGCAGTAAATACATACAATAAAATGTGATTGCAGCCATAATTACTGAACATTTTAAAGCTACAGTACACGTTGCAGCTTCTAGCGGTTAAAAACAGAAACCTTTTGCATTGGTTTTGCCGTTTTTGAATTATCATTGTGCTTTGTGTCTCGTTCACGGTGACAACAAACATTCAGCTTCACGCTAGGAGCTGCTTTTCTCTGTGTCAGGACTATTATAGTAAACTAAAACCATAAAACATATTTTCATTACTTAAAATGAAGTAAACGTTTTTATTTCAGCTAGTTGTCAAAGCAACGTTTCATTCAGTTTTTTAATTCAGTAAATTAATACAAACTCGATAGACATAAAAAAAATGACAAAAAAAAACAATAATAAAAATTTTGTAAAGAAACACTACGTGTCTATAGACTGAACACGTAATACATGCGCATGACGTCACCGTTTTCACAAATTTGCGTTTTTGTAGTTTACACAAAGACAATTACGGTTTCCTTTTCAAAAACGTTCACTTTGAAACCCGATTTCAAAAGTTTGCCTTTTCTGGTCCCCAAAACGCTGTTGTCGTATAAATGAACAGCCAAAACGCATAAAAAGTTGTACATTTTTCTGTTGAAAAATTGTGTAAACGCCCCCTTAGCATCACAGAGATATTAAAATAACATGACGTATGCATGCAATTTTTCACAAAGTCTGTCCCAACAGCTCTAAAACATAAATCATTATTATAGGTTTATCAGAGTGTATTTGGTTAAAGTAAAGTCTGTCTGTCTGACTGTCTCTGTCTTTCTCTGTCTATCTGACTGTATATCTATGTGACTGACTGTCTGTCTGTCTCTCTGTCTATCTGACTGTCTGTCTGACTGACTGTATATCTATGTGACTGTCTGTCTGTCTGTCTATCTGACTGTCTGTCTGACTGACTGTATATCTATGTGACTGACTGTCTCTCTGTCTATCTGACTGTCTGTCTGACTGACTGTATATCTATGTGACTGTCTGTCTGTATGTCTGACTGTATATCTATGTGACTGACTGTCTGTCTGTCTATCTGACTGTCTATCTGACTGACTGTATATCTATGTGACTGTCTGTCTGTATGTCTGACTGTATATCTATGTGACTGACTGTCTGTCTGTCTATCTGACTGTCTGTCTGACTGAATATCTATGTGACTGTATATCTATGTGACAGACAGACAGACAGACAGACAGACAGACAGACAGACAGACAGACAGACAGACGGACGGACAGACAGACAGACAGAAAGACAGACGGACGGACAGACAGTCGGACAGACAGTCTGTCCGTCTGTCTGTCTGTCTGTCTGTCTGTCTGACTGTATATATATGTGACTGTCTGTCCGACTGTCTGTCTGTCTGTCTGTCTATTTGTCTGTCTGTCTATCTGTCTGACTGTCTATCTATGTTACTGTCTGTCTGACTGTGTCTATCTGTCTGTCTGTCTGTCTGTCTATCTGTCTGTCTATCTGACTGTCTGTCTGACTGTCTGTCTGACTGTCTATCTATGTTACTGTCTATCCGACTGTGTCTATCTGTCTGTCTGACTGTATATTTATGTGTCTGTCTGTCTGACTGTCTGTCTATCAGAGCTGGCAGACAGAAAGACAGACAGACATGGTTTGGAAGATAAATTTTTTGCACTCTTATTAATAACACTGTTATTTTTTATCAAAAAAGATACATGGTGTCGATTTAAGTACACAAAACTAATAAATAACAAGGTAATTCTTCAACAGTCAACATGGAACAGCATTCGTTAGCTATTTTACTCCCTAATTGTGGCATATTTCCAAGTAAAACAGAATTAGGTTTCAGAGGTGGAGCAAATTATTATTTTTTCTTGAAATATTAAGTGTTTTGTCTTTCGAATACCATGCTAGTGCATGAATAAATGGTGCACAAAAATTGCAGATAAAATATATTGATTTCAGCATTCATGTTGAGGCACTTGGATGAAAACCACAGATCTAGAGGAGCATTATTACTTAAAAAGGAGGCCGAATTCTGCCGGTGTGTGTTTTAACACTCACGCTGATGTCTGCTGGGGGCTGGGGAAGTGGCAGCTGTACCATGTAACGCCAGATGTGAGCCGTCTGGTCCCCGGACGCTGTCAGGACACACAGACAAAGCAAACACAGATGGAACATCATATAAAAAAAAAGGACAGTCATCTATCAAATCACATTTAAAAGCATCTGACAGGTGTGGGGAGAGATACAAATAGAGACGAAAAAAATATCGAAAAATAAATATTACAAAGGCAACATAGCCGTCAGTCACATGACAAATGAATGGTTGGCTTCCCGCTAAGGCTGCGAGAGGTCCCTGGTTTAAATCCCGGCGAGCCCCCATATGAAGAAACAATTATGCCATACAGATTTGCATGCACAGGGTAAGATTTGTGGAAGTGTACATAAGATTGTAAGCATAAATAAAACATATGCTTTGTAAAGATGCAAATCACGTTTCAAATGTGAGAAAAAAGAATTATTTGCAGCATTTTACTGTTATTCATAGGTGTAATTCATGTATTGTGAATTACACCTCATGCTAACGCAAAACACTACAATAAGGTCTCATTGGTTAACAACACAAGTTAATGCATTAACTAACATGAACTAACAATGAGCAATATATTCTTACAACATTTATTAACCTTTATTAATGTTAGTTAATAAAAATGTTCATGTTCACCTCACAGTGAATTATCTAATGCTAACAAAAATGTAATAGTAAATGCTAAGATTAACAAATGTTGTAAAGTACTGTTCTTTGTTAACTAATGAAACAATATTGTAAAATTTTACCAAATTTGAAGTACTTTTAGAAGACTTGTTTTATCCCCTGGTAAATTGTTGCTGTGATTCCTGATGGTGTTGTATTATATTGTGGTTGATATTGTCATTTTTATGTTATATGTTATTACTTCTTGGCCAGGTAACTCTCGAAGAAAAAAAAAATTTATTTCGAGTTTTTTACTTTTCCATAAAGGAAAGGAGAAAGGAAACGAAAGAGCAGACGTTGTTCAAAACCAAACCACTGAATGTGTTGATGTGTACCTGTAAGTGCCATCTGCTCTGTGGGGTGAAACTTAATGGAGTTGACTGCAAGAAAAACAATGACAACAAACATTCATTAGACTCAACAAAACATAGTTAACACTAACCAAACCCACAGCATATAAAATCTTAAGATACTAATCTCCAAACAAAAGTTCACAAAATCAACACTTTCCAAAGTGTTACACATCTTGACATAGAACAGAGTTTCATACCTGATCCAGCGTGGCCGGCATACTTCAACAGGCACTTCCCCGTCTCAATACTCCACAGCATGGAACAGTGATCTGAAGAATAATGAATGACAGAATGGTTTCTGAAGCATCATGTGACACTGAAGACTGGAGTAACGGCATTTTAAAATCTATTGAATAAGAGACTGTTTCATAATATGACTGTTTTAACTGTAATTTTGAGCAAATAAAATACTGGCTTGGTGAGCATAAAAAAAACATTTAAAAAAAATCTTACAGACCACAAACATTTAAGCGGTATTGTATCAGAGATTTTATTTTGCATGAGGCCTCCAATTCAGCAAACCTATTACCAGAATTTGGGGCACGTCTAAATACAATTTAAAACTTGCAATTTTATCAGCAATAAACAAACTAAACTAAAAAAATAAAACAAAACTCAGAACAAAGTAACAAGGATCAAACTTTTGCCTAAATTAATCTGTCATTTAGTAGGGGCTATCTAGTTTGAATGGTAATTTACAGTTGCTGACAGACTAGATAGTGTTTTTTATTTGTTTTTGGGGTCTAGTAGAATATATGTTCATGGTTGAATGTTAAATGTTCAAGTTTTCCCATATTCTCCATTGTTGCAGCTCCTCTCTGCCCAGTCTGTCAGTAACGCTCTGTTTAGTTCCCGTCTCTATGAAGCCCCTCCTTCTGAAAAGCACACTGTGCTCTGATTGGTCGGCTGCACCAGTGTGTTGTGATTAGTCAAGCACTTCAAGCGTGTTTGACAAATGTCCCGCCCCTTACCAGAACTGTGAGTTTCAACACACTACTAACTAACTCAACCAGGCCTCGCTTCTTTATTTTGTGCATGCCTTGGGCGGGACTTATTTAAATGAGGAATATTGCGAGGTGTTGAGAAAACTCAAGACTTCAATGGAGGCGTTTCAGGCGTTTTTGTAACTTTGCAGACCTTTTTCATGCTCAAACAGCAACATTTCACACTAAAGAAAGGTGAACATGTAAAACAGGGTGATAGGACACCTTTAACTTGGCTAACAGGGATGAATACTTCAGCTTGATTCATGCAGTCATGACAGAACTTTGTATTATGTTTTTGGTAATTAAAATAGCAATAGAATTAAGTATAATTAAATAGAAATAAAATTAACTACAATTATTAATTCTCAATTCATCATGCCATTTGTATTACACAGTTATTTTTCCACTGTTCACAAATATCCCTGATTGTTATTCAATCTGGACAGGCCAAAATAAAAAAAGTGTTAGCTGAATTTAAAAAAATTAAATTATTAAAAATAATAAGAAGTGTGGTTGTGGCAGATTTACCTGCTGAAGCTGTGCCTAAAACCAGCGGTTGAACCCGAGTCACGGCCAGGTCCCATATCCCATCCCGGTGTCCCACATACTCCTTAACCAGCTGACAAACTGCACGAGATGTGGTGGCCTTGAAACTGGACACAATCTGAGGGACGGAGAGGAGAGTGAGCATTTGATCAAAAGTTCTCTCTCACTCTCACACACACACACACACACACACAGATCTAACTACAGAGCAACAGTAAGCAGCGCAGAAGCATGGGATATACTCAAACCATACATCACTATAACATCTCTACACGTATAACACACGTCATGTGGTTACAGCTGGATTGTGTGAACACACTGCATTCAGTCATACAGTCTCTCACACAAGATCAAGGTCTATGAAAGGAGAGCGTAGTCAATACTTCTGAAATGGGAAAGTTCAAACTAAAACACCCAAACAAACAAACACAAAATAACAGCCATCAATACAGTTAAAATATATAAAAGCTTACAAAACAAACTAAATGAATTAAAAATACAAACGAATGAGAAAACAGTTCGTAAATTTTGAAAATTATACATGTAAATATATGGATCATATCTGAAAAGGAAAGAAGCCGAGCTAAAGTTGGTCATTGGCTGCTATATAGCCAATGCATATAGTATATATATATATATATATATATATATATATATATATACAGTATATAATACAATGGCAGTAAATGACACATTTACAAAATTGCTGAAATTACACAAACAACTATTTTATACAATATTTACTTAAAATTCACTCAATGATCTTCAATAACAGAAAATGTGGTACAATCGCAGTAAAACACAACCTTTCCTAGTGAACTACTTTAATCCACTGATGTGTTTAAGAACTTTAGAAAAGGGCCCAAATATTGTCCAGAATGAACTAACTGGCCTGGTTGTTTCACTACCGTTCAAAAGTTTGGGTTCTGCAAGATAACGTGAGATGATTTTATCAGGTTGATATGCTCGCCAGCATTTTTTTATCAAAAACACAGTAAACAGTCATATTCTAAAATCTTAAAATACTGTTTTCTATTTGAATAGATTTAATGTGTATGTAATTCAGTGTCACATGATCCTTCAGAAATCATTCTAATATGTGGTGCTAAAAAAGGCTTTATTATCAATGTTGAAAACCGCTGTGCTACTTTATTTTTTTGTGGAAACCATGATACATTTTTAAGTTGTTGTATTTTTTTTTTGATGAACAGAAAGTATTTATTTGAAACAGAAGTTATTTTAAACATTACAAAGGCCTTTACTGTCACTTTCGATTTATTTAAAGGTAGGGTAGGCAGTTTCGGAAAGGCAAGCAATAGCAATCTAGCTTTAGGAGGAACTGTAGAAGGCGGCTGCTGTTTCTTTGTGGCGCTCGGTGACTGACGTCTGTCTACAACTCTGCATAACCTGTGATGTCTGCACGGCCACGTCTAATATTGATTGCTATCAGGATGTGAAGAGCTTCAACCAGTATAACAAAAATATTTTTTAAAAAATTAAATTGCCTACCCTAACTTTATTGCACCCTTGATCGATAAAAGAAAAAAAAACTTACTGACCCCAAACTTTTGAATGGTAGTGTATATCATATCACTAATTAAAATTTTGCAGATCATTTGGTATTTAGATATTTTAAAAGGATGTATAATTGACTTAAATTAATAAAATTGCCCCTTCTGAAAAACATCAAAATAGTTGAAACTGTAACAAACAAAATAAACAACTGTAAATTGTAAAATATTGTTCATAAGTAAAAAGTAATCTTTACTTGCTACCTACAGTGATGACACAAGTTAGTTTCACATATATTTGGAAAATAAAACGCTGTAATATTTAGGGATGCATGATATATCAGTGACCATTTCATGTCGTACACTATCGTTTTTTAGTTTTGCTTTATAATGTGAAGCATATCAAATTCTAAAATTTTAATTGTAATTAAACTTACATTTAACTTAAATACCTAAGTGTGAATCTCATTTTCTTTTTTCCAACAGTAATATGATCCAAGTTAAACAGTTTAGATTATAATACAGGCCAGCAGTCATAAGATAAAATCATAAAAGTTGGTATCGGCCAACAATTCGATATCAGTGCATCCCTAATAGTGTTTGTAAAAGGTAATGTTCAGAATAAAGAAGTATTGAGGTACATTGTCCTAACTTTAACAAATGTTTTGGCATCACAGGAAGCAAATGACTTCTATGGTCCTGTTTACACCAGGTATTAAGATGCGTTTTGGTCGATCGGATCACAAGTGGACGATCAGGGTCTAAAACGTTTTGAGCTTGTCCACTTTCAACCACTTCCAGAGGTAGTCGAAAATACATTCGACCGGATTGCTTTCGTAGTGTAGATGCTCATGAGACCACAAAAGAGCATTACCTCTCCGTCTACTGACCTAATGCGTAAACATTATGGGAAGCGCACTAGCCAGACGGGATATAAACTGTGTCGGCTGGAGACCCAAAAAAAACGCAAAATGTACCAAGCACAATGTTCTCTCACCATTCCTGATTTCTGTCAGAGCAGAATCAAAAGTGTGTTTCGTCTCCGCTCACGTTTATATGTAAATTGTGCAAGCTTATTTTGTCCATTAGACTGAAAGATCTGAAAAACAACATACATTTACCCGCCCATAGACCCTCCCCTTGAAGAATTCAGGACAGAAGTGGTTGAAAGTGGACAAAAGAGACGGATTAAAACACCAGGTGTAAACGGGTATGTGTCTCCCTCGTCTACTTGTGATCCGATCGACCGAAACACATCTTAATACCAGGTGTAAACAGGGCCTATAAAGCAATGGACTAAGGAAAGTATGCAAGCATGTCAATATGCAGCCTAACTACTAATAAGCACTGCTAAGCTCGAAATTTCACTGAAGGTAAGAGCAAACACGGCAAGCACAATGAGCCCTCATCTCAGAAAGGTGAAAATGCTCTTTAATATTAGAAAACAATATTTTATAGTAACTGACCAAGCTCCTCATGTTCAAAGACAATCTTGTTGAAATCATGAATTCTCATGTACAATATACTTAAAAGTTACAGGAAACCTGAGGGCTATTACCCACAAGAGGGCAATTACTCATAACTACATTTGTAATGCATCCATTTGCAATATTATGTCTGTTGCTGTCAAGTTAAAAAATATTATCTTAACAATAGACAATATAACACAATACTTTGTTTTATGTAAGGCTGTGATGTGTAATTTACAATTTAATAGTTAAAAAAATACAATAAAAAACAAAGCATTTCAATGAAAAGATGATTTTTTAAAGAACACACGTATTATTCTTCACAAAACAATAAACAGGTATGTAATCAAATGTATAGAAAATAAATATTATTGCTACTTGACACTTTTTTTTCTTGTTTTGAGCCTTGTCCATAGATCTCAGCTTCAACATACAGCTGATTTTTAGAGTGAATCAAGTTCTAAAATCGAACTATTAATATTTAACATTTTCAATCCTTTGTATGGTGTTACAAAAGCAGAATAGAGTAAAAATACACTATGTACAGCCTGAAAACAAGAGAGCATTTTCAACACTGACTAAACAAGAAACATCAGCTAATGTTCCCTGTAACGGGGGAAAGAGCTGTTGGTGTTTTCTCTTCTGCCGTGTCTAGTGTTTTAAGAGAAGGGTTTGTATGAGGGATACCACATTACAGAACTACTCAGCAGGGGGATCAACTTTTCAATGTTATAAAGTGTGAATTAAATTACAGAGTTAAAGACATTTTTGCTGCCAGTTTGTTAGAACAAAAACGTAAAAAATAAAGAATTTAAAAAAAAGACAAATTGAGCTGTCTAAACTCTTCAAAGCCAGAATACGGTAATATCTTTGTTAGATTTAGACAGCTGTCATGGTTCTCTGCCAGCCAGCACATCTGGCCCAGGACACCATCAAGATATTTAGCCATGGCAACAACAAAAAAAATGGCTTGTACGCAAAATTCGTATTGGTCACAGAACATTTCTGATCGGCTTTTTTCATCATGAACCAATTCAAGATTTCGATTTGCTCTGGCCAAATGCTTGAATGGGGTAAGATTTGCTGGCAGTTAAGAACATCAACGTCAATCAAAGGTTTCCAAGCCAACTATTCAGAACATCCATAAGCGAGATTTCTTGAAACTCAAGAAATATTTTGATATTTACAAGACATTGTCTTAACGTGTCGTATAATGCTGAATTAGTGTTAGAGTTAGCCAGATGAGCACAGGTCGATGGCTTGTTGTTATTGGGTTATGACCCCCAACTGTTGGATAGTTCATGCATTTTGGCACACTGAGGAATTAATTACCCATGAGTCTCCACCCCATAACTCCCAGTTTCCTACATTGAAGTTGCGAGGTCCACCTACTTTCCCCGGGAAAGAATTTGAGCGCTACATCAGTGAAACCGAGAGAAAAGAACAATTGTAATCTGAGGATCAAAACGTTAAAAAGATGATTTTAAATTTGAATCAGCACCATTCAGCTCTATATTCAAGAGTCTACAGGTAAACAAGGTGCTCGGTTCCAATAATGGACCCATGCGGAAAGTTGAGAGAAAACATGACATTTGATAACATGAGCTTTCTAAATGCCTAACTGCCTTCATTTCCAACAGCCATTTGGGTAAGAACACAAAATATTAGTGGTGTAAACATTTCAAATAGTAACTACACAGCAAAAACTTAAATAAAAAAATGAGCAAATAAGCTGATAAGCAAAACAGTGTACTACACAGATACTAGTTAATATTGTGTGAGTGAATTTGATTGAATTATGATTCGGTATTAAAATGTGTGACGAAACATGAAAACAAAACATTTCTAGTCCAATTCAGAATTATTTGATCTTACAAGATCATAACTGTGGATATGTAGCCTTAGTGAGTTAAAATTTTATACTATGAAATGTGTACGATGTTTGTTTTTATTGTGTTTTTATTTGTGTTTTTGTGAAGCACCTTGGTCAGCAGAAATGCTGTTTTAAGGTGCTATATAAATAAAAGTGACCTTGACCTTGACCTATTGGAGTATAATCGGAAATGTGTCGGAAGTAGTGGAGTCTGAAAAGTCAAGAATCGTCGTATTTTAGATAATAAAGGAATGTGTAATAAACTGGGTGTTATTGCATATCAGAATAGATCATGAAATTCCATAACTGATGTATTGAACTTTCTATGTCAGATCAATGCATGACACGTTTTGCACCCCTACTATTGATAAATTGGTATGTAACTCCATGAAATATGTAGTTTGTGTACTTGAAAGAAACCAGAATCTTAACAAAAAGAGCACTACTGAAATGCATTTAAGCGGAGAACCACTTCATTCACAATTCAACACAGAGACAAAATATAGACACGTACACAACCACCAAAAACAGCTTCCTATTTGAGATGTCACAAATCAATACTAAAATTGAACAGATGTAACGATACCAGTTATTCAACTGTGTCAGAATACACCAGGTGATGAAATTACAAAATTGTTGTATGCCTTTACGGTAGATGCCGTTCAGTTCCTTAATAATTATGGAAACTAAATGAAGGATTGGCAATAATAGAAGTTCAACCTTTGCTGTGAAGTTGACAGATTTCACTGGTATTGCTGACATTTTGGTATTGTGACAACCATTCAATTCTAAAGTATCTACATATGTTAAGCAGGAAATTCTGTAAGCCGGCTAGAAAGAGCAGAACTTTGCACTGAGACTTTTTACAGAGATTAGTGAGGTTCACAGAGAAATATTCTGAGCTTGACCCACAGTAACAATTTTATTCAGAGCAAAATGTGAGCGATAACCCCATAGATACAATCATACCTTGCTCGTGGAGGCCTTGTATGTCGTCTTCAGCTTTTGGGACAGTTGACTTGTGCTGTGACTAGCTGTGCGCAAGAAATTATAAGATTATGAGTGAAATATGAAAAAGATTAATTGTTTGTTATAATATTAGTTGTTAGTTTTCAATTTTCATTTAATATAGGCCTCTCAGCTCAGTGAGCAGAGTTAAGTTCTTCCACACCAGACAAACTTTAAAAAAACTATTATTTATGGTCCTCGGTTTTTTAACCAAGCTGAAACAAAAAAGGGCCCCATTCTAGGGATGCACGATGATATCGGGACAACATCGGTATCGGCCAATAAAAGCTTAAAATGACCATCATCGGCATCGGCCGATATGAATATTTCTGCCGATGAGCCTTGCCGATAGGGTGGCGTGTTTCCTATGCGCACGTGACGACCGTGAACGAAGCATGAGCGCCAGCAACTTAAACTTCCAGCTAGGGGTGTGCGTCTCACGGTTTTTGATCGTGGACGATTAAAATGTCTCCACGATCTGCTTTTGAAGAAAAATCATAGTATCGTGCATTCTATCAGTTCAATTCTGGCGCCTTCATCTCAACATAATGTACAACGCGACGTACATTCACATCACATGTAAACGCAGAGGTATAGTTACACTCACGGGACACCGCAATTCACAAAAGTTCACTATTTGCATGTGCAAGTCTTGCTAGTTAAACATGTCATTCACGTGCTGATGCGCTGTTCTAACATCCGCTTTTCTGAGCGCGTACACCCGACGCTCACAGGAACTAAAAGCCTGTCACAGCGCCCGCATACTGGACTAATCTTTCGAGTCTTATTGCGCTGATACTGTCAAATACACACACGGTTTACATTAACAAAGTTTGTTATGTCTAAAGTGAAAGCAAACGGAGAAAATCTGGTTGTCAAATGCGTGTATATTAGACGCGTCGCGTGCAGTTCTTAAAGAGACAGTAATAATGTGCTGCCGCTTGTCCTTAAAGAGACACTGCACCCAGAAATAAAAATTCTGTCATTATTTACTCACTCTAATGTTGTTTCAAACCTGTATTCATTTCTTTCTTGTGCTTAAATATACTATGGAAGTCACTGAAGTACAGCAACTGCTTGGTTAGCCACATTCTTCCAAATAACTTTTATTTTCAACAGAAGAAAGAAACTTGAGAGAGTAAATGATGACAATTAAAATGTTTGGGAGAACTATCCCTTTAATGTTAATAAAACAACAAAACACAGAGGAAATCACTCACTGCTCTTGACTGAGAACTTTAATAAGCTTTTTTTGCACTTCGGCATCGGCATCGGGCAAAATTAGTTTGAAAATATCGGCATATCGAATATCGGCCAAAATCCTATATCGTGCATCCCTACCCCATTCTACTGTAAAAGGAGATTATATGGCGGTATGATTTTATGCTCCTGTTAGTAATGGGTGTCGCTGAAAAAGCCAAACCCCTTCATTAGAAGAGTGTCAACAAACACTTGACCATGTAGATCTTTTGATGATTGAATAGCAAATTGGAGTTAAAACATCATCATATCATGCAAGGACACAGCTTTAGGCGAAACGTTATCAAATTATTCTCTCTGAACCATCAAAAGACAACGTTATTATTTATTCAAAAGCTTGTTCAATGATCTGATATTATGAATGCATAAGTTAAACAAAAGCTGAATGTCAAAAATGTTTTGTTTTGCATGAACCTTTTGTTTTCAAGGCTCCTTTGCTCAGATCACCGCCATCGACTGCCTGTCCTTCTCCAGCCAAACGTTCGTTTAGCGATTCAATCTCTCTTCGCACTGCACAAAAACAGAGGTTACGATAATATGAGCGCTGACAAAACAAAACACTGATCTTGTCACATTTACACACATTATAAAGGATATTGTACTTTCAGCTAGTTATTACAAAAAAAAGACTTTCTAGATAAGTAAATAAATGGATGTGAAATATTATTTTGACAAGAAAGCGACCTCAGGGTGACACAACAAAAGTCAATTGAGGATTCAGATCTTGTAAGTGTGAAAGTCGCTTAGTTAACATACATAGGATGAAGATTACTCAAATAAATGTGTTGAGATTGTGTTGTCACCATAACATTAAGAATAAGTCATGTAAACAGTGTCCAGTCATGCAAAACGGATGTTAAATATGATGAAAGCTATTTGGTTAATACTCACATTCCAAGTTTTCAATGTAGAGATTTTCAAACTCCCGTTCAATCTGTCCAAACAGATCTAGTAAGTTACTCCTTAAGGCCATCGGCAACTTGGAGTCCTAGAAATTCAATCAAATAAACCATATTGCAAATACTCAGAGATTGCATCTTCAAAACACCTTCAAACTTCAGTGACAACTTATGAGAAATGTGTTTCTATGACATCTGCACTGTTCGTTTTACTCGGGTCCGTACATCCTATCTATGCTAAAGATACAAATAAACTACTACAACACAGGGAGTGTCGAGGGGATCTTGTTAATGGGATATTTTCAGGAGAAAATGAAAAAAAACAGATCTACAAATAAACTTTCCATAAAATGTCTTGCTGGTCTAAACTTTACATCTATATATTTGTATATTGTAAATGTATTTTGTTGTTTTAAAGGTTTACATAAAAATATTGCTGTTCTAAAAGTTGACGTTAAAATAGATATAAAGTTTTACTTTAATAAGATATTTGACCGTAAACTTCAAGACAATATTTTACATTAATGTAAAATTTTAAAACTAGACAGTTTACATAAAATATCTTGCTGTTCTAAATCCTTACATCTAAATATTCTAAACTATCTAAGTGTTCAAAAACTTTACATAAAATAGCATGTTGTTCAAAAACTTTACATCTAAAAGTTAATTTAAAATATCTTGCTGTTCTAAAACTTTACACAAAATATCTCTGTTCAACTATAAATTGAATGTTTAAAATATCTAGCTGTTCTAAATGTTTATGTAATATATTTTGCTGTTTTAAAGGTTTACATAAAACTATTGCTGTTTTAAAATTTACATTCAAATAGATGTAAAGTTTTACGTTAACAAGATATTTTAACGTAAACTTCAAGACAAAGTTTTAAAACAAGACTATTTACAGAAAATATCTTGCTGTTCAAAAACTTTACATTTAAAAACGTACTTAAAATAATCGAACATCTAAACATTTACGTAAAATATTATGGTGTTCTAAAACTTTACATAAAATAGCATGTTGTTCAAAAACTTTACATCTAAAAGTTACTTTAAAATATCTTGCTGTTCTAAAACTTTACACAAAATATCTCTGTTCAAAAACTATAAATTGAAATGTTAAAAAAAATATAGCTGTTCTGAAACTTTACATCTAAATGTTAATGTAAAATATATTGCAGTTCTAAAATTTCACATCTAAAATTGTATCAAATATCTTGCTGTTCTTAATGTTAAACATCCTGTTGTTTTAAAACTTTACATCTATGATTTTACATAAAATATCTTGCTGTTCTAAATGTTTATGTAATATATTTTGCTGTTTTAAAATTTACATTAAAATAGATATAAAGTTTCACGTTAACAAGATATTTTAACGTAAACTTCAAGACAATATTTTACATAAATGTAAAGTTTTAAAACAAGACAGTTTACAGAAAATATCTTGCTGTTCAAAACTTTACATTTAAAAACGTACTTAAAATAATCGAGCTGTTCTGAAACTTTACATCTAAACATTTATGTAAAATATTATGGTGTTCTAAAACTTTACATAAAATAACTTTTAAGCCTCAGTACAGATCATATCTGTCCTCAGACAAAACGAGTGCATCATTTCTTTTTAAATGACCCAGGTTTGAGACAGAGAGTAACCAAACATTACTAAGGAGGATGTTCCAACAAAAAAAAAAGATCTCTAACGAAATCTGAAAAAGCACAAACAATAAAGAGATCTCTATTCAATAAATAACTAATCTACCAAACCAACTTACCTCCATTATCAACGATAAGAAGTCCCAAGTAAAGTCTTTCAGCCTGATTAAAGCTACACAAACAAAAGGAATCCACAAACAAACATTGTTGTTGTGTTTTTTAGACTAGCCATGTCCATATTAACTACTCCAGGACAACTAGGTGTGCTGTCAAGTTAACACAAGAGTTTAACGGTGAGAACAGTGTAAGCTATGTCAACTGCTCTCCATTCTGTCATTACCACATGTACTGATGAGAGAGAGAGAGAGAGAGAGAGAGAGAGAGAGAGAGAGAGAGAGAGAGAGAGAGAGAGAGAGAGAGAGAGAGAGAGAGAGAGAGAGAGAGAGAGAGAGAGAGAGAGAGAGAGAGAGAGAGAGAGAGAGAGAGAGAGAGAGAGAGAGAGCAATTAACAAACAGCTCGATGTCTATTCTTATAAACCTCTCAATCCTAAACTTGTGGTCACCATAGCAACTGGACATAATGACAGCATTGAGAGGGTGAAAGGCGGTATAGTCTAAATCCAGTGAACGGTTTACAGTAGCGACTGCCAATCAGAAATGACCCCACAGAGGAATAGACGGAACAATCGAAACCCAGAGTGGGCCGCTCTTTAAAAATGGATGAGGCTATAGACCATAGAAAGTACAAACCATTGATACCCACCAATCAATAAAACACACGACCAAATGGCATCATGTCTCAAGTCTGAAATGAGCTTGACTATTCTCAACACATCTTGGCTTGTTGAATAAAACGTATTGCGTTGAAAATAATGTTTAGTACGATTACAAACGTTTTAAAGAAACATCCATGGATATTTGTAACATTCCTTTCATAATATGTAGAAAGAAAACTTTTGAAGAACATGTATTTGAATGTGAGAACTGATGATTTCTCTAATGATTTACACGAGTACAGGCGTCTCTTATCACTGACGTACTTCTCACTGTTTGCGTTAGAAATGTGTGTCAATAACAGACTCCTTTAGGACAAATGATGTGTGTTAAAGGATGTAAATTCCAGGGATGCCTTACAGTAGCAAAACAATGACGAAATTAATTATTGACAGAAATACTCGTGTCATTTTTTCACCAGATAGATGTTACTTGGACTTTGACTTCCATCCAAACTGAAATCCCTCTTTATAAAGACACAGATCCAGTGTAATTACAGCTCCAAATTGTCAAGTTAGTTTTTATTTATATTCTTTTTTTTTTCTTTCTTTCTTTTACAATCGGACTTTCAATTTAGTTTAGTTTTTGTAATTTCGTTTTTCAGTAAAGTGCCAAAATTAGCCTAATGCATTAACTGATACAATTTAAATATTTGTTTTTGTTAAAGGTTTCATTTCAGCATTTTTCATTTTTAACATTTTTGCAGATGTGTTGTAAATGTTTCCAATGTTTTAATAAACTGTGTATCAAAACCTAGAATTAACATTTTTAATTTAAATTAAAATTTCATTTCATTATAATAGCTATTTTTAAGTTATTTTGTTTTAATTTTGAATTTTCCCTTAGGTTAAGATTATTTATATACACATACATATATATTTAGGGCTGTCAAACGATTAATCGCATCCAAAATAAAAGTTTGTGTTTACATAATAAATGTGTGTGTACTGTGCATAATTATTTTTAATACATTAATACCCACACATGCATGTGTATTTAAGAAATATTTGCATGTATATACTGTATATAGACTGAATGTAGCCTATATATAATGTATATTTTATATAAATATAAACATTTTATATATAAATAACATATTTTTCTTAAATATATACATGTGTGCATTTATATACAAAATAATTATACACAGTACACACACATATATTATGTAAACACAAACTTTTATTTTGGATTAATCGTTTGACAGCCCTAATATATATATATAAAAAATTTCAGTTAAGGAAAAAAAATATATTTATTTTTTGATTTTTCTAATAATAATAAGTCATTAAGCATTCAAAATTGGTTCTACATTCTATAATCTAAAACAATAGAAAATGATTCAAACACAACATGACACGTGTCTATATGGATGCTTACATATCCCAGCTGTCTTGGTGTTTTTCAAAAAAAAAAAAAATTCATAAACAATGTAACAGAACTGGCTCTGTGTCATTCTTGCCTGTACGTCTGAGGACGAACACACGCTCAAAAAAACACAGTATCCTCTAGTGTCCGTAACCACAAACTTCAACCCTGAATCTATACGTGATCAGACAAGTTTACACTGAAGAAACAAAAAAACAACCCACCTGTCCCTCCAGCATGTCTCTCTGCATGCCGGGTCGGTCCTGCTCGGTGCTGTTGGTCCTCCTAATGGAGAGACTGTGCGACTTGCGCTTCTGTTTGACTTGACGGGCGGCTGCGCTGTTTCCACTTTCAACAGGCATCACTCCTCAGTGACGTCCCCTACACACTTCCTACCTGAAACTGAGCAATCACACAGCAGGGTTTGCCCCGTCCTGAGACATCCAGGAATACAATGTGTGCTTTGTTGGATACTATGCAGTATACCCTATTCCTGGATGTCGTGTGTAAATATCAAGTTAAATATTGAGGGAGGAAACGTAAGGTAAGTAAGTCTTGGTTGATGACATACTTGAGGAATGTGTTGTCTACTGCGGGTGTAGGTTGATTTAATATTAGCTGAGCAAACATCATAAAAGTGAAGAGTTCAAATGAAGCCGCTGTAAAACTGATGCCTGGAGAGACGTTTGACGGAGCAGGTGAACGTGAATATAAAGGTCAAGATGAATCTCATTAAAACTATCATAAACATATTTCACCCGAAAATCTAAAGAAAGTAAAAAGAAAGTATAGGCTGCTTAAAAAAGGAAGCTTACATTTTTGTCATTTAACACAAATTTTACAGTAATTCATCTTTTTTTATTATTATTATTAAGAGCACTGCTCTCATTCTAGGTAACACACTGTAATGTGAATTATTTTATTATATTAAAATTTCTGTGAATAATATTTTACTGTAAAAAAGTATGACTGTTTGACCAAAATGATTTTCATTAGCAATTTTTTACTATGATGAGAAAGTGTTTTTGCTGTACAGTATTGACAATGGGATATTTTTATATTACATTATTAAAAAAACATATTTTTGCAATACAGTCATAAGAATTAAAGAAGAAAGTAGCTTAATAATCATGAAAATATAACAATAATAATGTCACATATTTACACAGAATTATTTTTATTTTTTAGGTGAAATATGACCTGGACATTCCTTTTGAAAACCCATTATATTTATGTTTTTAGATGAAGCAATGGGTGCAATTTTAATGTAAAACAAATATGTGAAGTGAGTTCATGAAGTGTTAAATTTAAAAAAAGTTAAAATCATGATCAAAAAAGCATGCAGGACATTATTATCCACAAAAACAAACAACAGAAAGTGTTAATGTCAGCCTAAGCATCTTAAAATGTATGAATAATTATATATGAAAACATATTGCTAGATAAAGGGCATGCAACAACAAAAAAAACTAAAAAATTACAAATACCAGGCATGGAGAGCAGTGAATGATAAACAAAGCAGACACATCCTCAGACGACCGCTTAAAGTGATGAAGAGGATCTCAACAGGAGGGCCCGGGGCCGGGGCCACACTCACTCCAGCACTGAACACAAGACAACACCAGCTATCGGTTCACAAGCATGACAGTGAAGGAAGGGAAAGCTGCAGGCATGAGTGACAGCATTCTCACAACCTAAAAGAACTGGGTGGACGGATGGACGGTAAAACAGAGGTGTTTCAGCTCATGAGGTTAGTGGGTTTGAAGATTACACAACTCATATGTAATACATGCATTAAGTATTTGTTTGTGCTGTCTTTCTGAAATGATGATTTCTACAAAGCCGAAAACCCCAGAGTGCTCTGATTGGCCAGCTGACCCAGAGCAACAGAAACTATTAGTATAGACTTCAGTCCCGTTCACAGTCACACCAAGAGCAATAACTATATTAGCGTCTTCACCAGCAGACAATAGCAGTTTTGTCGCCTGCTGCTTTAAAGGGATAGTTCACTTTGAAATACATTTTTGATATGTTTTAGCTTACCTCAAGGGCATCCAAGATGTAGGTGTCTTTGTTTCCAATTTTGCTATTTTTAGGTCAAACCGTTCTTGTCTGTCAGTCATATAATGCAGGTCTATGGTCACCACCTCAAAGAGCATGCACAGAGAAGTCCAAATTAAACATGATTTAATGACTCGTAAATGTAAGTACACATTGATGCCCTAAGAGACGAAACGAGTGGTTTGTGTGAGAAAACAAACAGTATTTATATCGTTTTTACCTCTTGTAACGCACAGACCGAAGCGCCGGCGCCATCAGATCACTTGGACATGGCTGTGCGTTACAAGAGGTAAAAACGATATAAATACTGTTTGTTTTCTCACACAAACCGCTCGTTTCATGTCTTAGGCCATCAATGTGTACTTACATTTACGAGTCATTAAATCATGTTTAATTTGGACTTCTCTGTGCATGCTCTTTGAGGTGGTGACCATAGACCTGCATTATATGACTGACAGACAAGAACGGTTTGACCTAAAAATATCAAAATTGAAACTACTGCGGAAACAAAGACACCTACATCTTGGATGCCCTTGAGGTAAGCTAAAACATATCAAAAAAATTAATTTCAAAGTGAACTATCCCTTTAAATACTCAAGCTCAAATGGATTCTGATTGGCTGTCATTGTTTTTTCTAAAAGTTCTGCAAGTAATTCCAACGATATCATTTCTGTGCTTTTTATCGGTATAGTTATGGTGTGGACTGTGCTATTCTTTATATTTAGAACTACATCTTTATATCGGTATAGTTATCGTCGTTGGTGTGAGCGGGCCTTTAAAGTGACCCACGATGCATTTGCTTCTAATGCTGTTCTTAGTTTATTCACTGGGAATTCACTGAGTACCAGCTTTTGAGATTTGCATGATGTCAGCTGAAAAGAAAAGATATTTTTGAGACAAAAAATTGGTGAAAAATACATAAAAATGTTGGTTCAGGAATAATATTGACTAATGAATTGTTCACAATAAGGCCAGCGATGTGCATTAATGAAATAATTAGAAATAAATAGACATATTCTTTTGCACAAGTATTGTCAACATGGCGATACTTTTGAAATAGTGAGGTTTTGTTCACTTTCATTGTACAGTAAAAGCCTCACTGTAACAGATTGTAGATGTAGTAGATGTTTGTAAGAAACAATTTTGGGAAAAAAAAAACATTTTTAATCAACGTTAATCCACAAAACCTGTCCACTTTTTACTTGTACTGAATTAGAATATTATTGTAATGATTTACAAATCATGAAATCATTACCATACTGTGTGCCTCATGACCATGTAATGGTAATGTCATGGTATATTGTTCAAAAATAGCAATATGGTAGTACCTTGATGTTTCTCCTTACCTTTTGTAAGTGTTTCACGATAAACAACTTCCTTTCAGATCATTTATGGAATCGTATGACTGTCTATGTTTAAGTTACATATAAAGGACATTTACATTTAGACGTCGTAACTTTACATGTTTAGTTCTAACGGTCATAGAAAATGTGGAAAACGTCATTTAAAATAATATTGTTTTGGTGCAAGAAAAAAAATGTAACTTAGTTCGGATTCAAATATCTTCCCCTGGTTGTCTGGTGTTTTGGAAACACACTTATCAAAAATGCATATATGCCCTACGCACGATTTGATCATAAACACGCACACACAGCAGTCTGACGCAAGGTCAGCTGGCCTGCTCGGTTAAAACACCACTAACACAGTCAAATATGATGCCCGTTATCAGCCATAAGCCCAGTGCTGTGTCTCTCTGACAGAAGCTGTGTGTTGATAAAGTGTCATTCACCTGATTAGCAGCTAATCTTCCATTGCGACAAACACTAGCGCCTCTGCTTTCATTAACACTCACATTTATGACCGCTTCAGATGATCTGGGCGCGTTTGTCATTCGCTGACGATGGGCTGGTGTGTGTTTGAATCCTCCAGCATGATCCAGACAAACACACACTGATGATCCTGTCAAAAAAAATCTCCGGGATTTTCACACTTTGATGTTATTTTTTTATCAAACCCGACACTGTCAGCAGGCTGTGAAGCAAGAGGAAATGACAACAGATCTGACGGGCGACCAACCGGAAGCAAACTATCAAAATAAAAGCTTCAACCTTATCATTTTAATAATAATAATACATTTTATTTATAATCCACTTTACATTTCAAAGAAATCTCAAAGTGCTAATCATTTTAAAAAAAAAATCTTCTAAACTATGTAATTATTATAATCACAAAACGCACGGCTATCTCTCCACAAATACACATACATTGGCATCTATATTTGTAAAAAAAAAAAAAAATTATAATGATTAAATTATAATGAATAATTAATTAGTATGATATTTCACATTGACAACAGATGGAGATGAAAAAAATATATATTGTATTATAATAATAGTATAGTTGATTATGACTGTATTTTTAAAAAACATTGTTTTATATTTCCAGTGTAACTCCAACATATGTAATATTATATGACAACATTTTTAAATGACTTTTTGAAATTATTAAAACGATTTTAATCAACAATAATTAATAATACTTTTGAAAATTGTGTTTTAAAATGTGTGTTGATATTTCCATATACCTGTTAAACTTTAAATTATTGTATTTAATTTTATGTCCAAAACTAATTATTCCGTTTCGTTTAATGTCAATTCACGCCATTACTTGCTTCTTTTCTTTTCTTTTTTTTTTTTCGTCAACCAACCCCGGAAGACATCCTAGATACATATCCTAAACACCAATCCGAAGAAGGCTTCATTCCCAACAACCAATCAAAATCTTGCGGATAAAGCCTCATGTATGGGCGGGGAATCATCACCAGTGTCAGTGTGATCGTCAGAGTTGAGCAGTGATCGGTTCCTTTAGCATTGTTTGTGTGTTTTATTTGTGATCCGCGCGTTATTAAGACCATTCGAGCCTTATCACTTCAGCAGTGTGAGTGTGTGAAGCGTTGCATACCTGTAGATTCGTAGAGCAGATGTGTATATGTTGTGTGGTGTGATGGCGTGTTTGCAGTGTGCTGGACTGTGATTGGCCAGTGCCGTGTGCGCGCTCATGGTGCGGTGGTTGTGGGCGGCGCGCAGATCAGCTGCGCTGCTCGTGAGACTCAATAATAAACCCGCTTCAGGAGCAGAAACTCTTCATTTACCAGCTCAACATCATCACGGGTGAGTCCAGCATCCATTCACTAACACTAGCAGCATATCATTTACACCATCACAGGTGAGTGCAGACTACACTAACACTAGCATAATCATTTACACCATCATGGGTGAGTCCAGCATTCACTAACACTAGCATATCATTATACAATGCGTTTTATGAGCTGCTGATCTTACAGGGCCAAAATAAAATGTCCTTTTGCGAACTTTTAGCACACTGCTAAACTTTGTTTTGTAGCAATTATTGTAATAATTTTAAGTATCATTTGTTATTGTTGGGTATGTTTTCTTCCTGTAATAATATGTATTATTCATTTCTTATACGCCTATGCCGTTTAGCTGTTAATTATGTTAAACTTTTAAAGTGTTATGGATTTCAATTTTTCTTTATTTAGTACTTTTTTATTTAGTTTGCTACCTAATTTTATTGTTTAGTAATTAAAAAATTAAATTAAGTTCTATATGATGATATTACTTAACCATAATGATTGTTATTTGTGTGTGTGTGTATGTGTGTGTGTGTGTGCAGTCAGGTCAGACGGCTCAGTTCACCTGTAAACATGCCGGAGATTAACATGGATAATCTGGATGAGAAGCAGGTGCAGTTGCTGGCAGAAATGTGCATCCTGATCGACGACAATGACAGAAAGATTGGAGCTGACAGCAAGAAGAACTGCCATCTCAACTCAAACATTGATAAAGGTAATGAATGTGCATGAGATTTTACTGATTATATTTTGCTCCAATGTTTGGTGATACCGCGGCCCCAAAAAGTGTTTCTAGACTAAAAACTATATTACTTTCTGATAGATTCTGACAAATGCTTTTGCATCATTTGTTTGTCACCTGCTTTAATATTTTGTTATCTAATGTAACTAAATGTATACATTTTGAGCATGACTAGTGTCTGAATTGTTTTGGGGCCACTTTTTGTGTCATATATTCAAAACAAATAAAGCAAGAAGTGTCTTTGAATCTGTCTTATGATTTGTATGATTTAAGTGATTCCTTCATTCAAGGTCAGTATAAGAGGGCTGGGTAAAAAATATCGATTTCTCAATATTAATCCATTCTCATTTTTACGAACCGATATCGATTCTTAAATCTCAAGAATCGATTAGTCATCCTGTTTTCATGTGATGAATGAATGGAACAGTAGCGCGCATCCCATCCAATAAATCGCAATAATCTTTGTGCTTTGTTACTATTGATACTAAATAAAGTCTCAAATTTCAAATTACGTCCATTTTCTTACGAAATTCAAAAATATAAATACCGTTTTGGCGCTGTGGCGTGAGATCGCTCTGGCTCAGCTCAAGAGAAGCAGCAGCGCGAAGCGCACATGATCTCCTCTTCTGCCTTAATACCAGTTACAGCGCGAAATAAACATGAATGAACGTCTGAAAGTGTGTTAAAAAATAGAATACAACTTATCGAAATCCGTATCATGTCACATGGAATCGCTCAATCAGTGTTTCAACCGTGGAAAGACGTCAGTAAAACAACTTGTAAACAATGTCATGTAACGTCACATTTACCTCAGAAAAACCATATGTGACCATAAACTCGTTAGTCAGCTAGAAAAATTAACTCTAAAGAGGAGCATTTTGCTAAATATATGCACCATATTACATATTCATTATAATTTTTAATGTTCTTCGATATTTAATGCATGTTTGAATAAATCTGGCAAGTTTTTGTGACAGCCACCATTTAAATGTTTATATTTCATATAACTTTATTATTATAAAAATAAATAAAAGTGTAATTTAAGTGTTTGTATAGCTACAAATCAGTTAATTTTTACCTTCAATATTATAGTAGGCTAATGAAGCCTAGTAGGCTACAACTGACTCCCATAGTTTACAGCATTAGTTAAGAGATTTGTTTTCCTTGAGAAAATTTGCCATGTATTGAACCTGATATCCAAAATAATCAATATTGAATCGAATCCGAATCGAATTGCAAGCTTGTGAATCGAAATCGAATCGAATTGTGAAATTTGTGTCAATACCCAGCCCTATGTATTACACCCACTATATTAGATTGTCTGTGTGGCAGGTTGTAAAGGTGATTTTATGCACACAACTACTAGTACTAACTTTTATTTAAATATTTTTACTGACAGGATTGTTGCATCGAGCGTTCAGTGTTTTCCTGTTTAACAGTGAGGAAAAGCTTCTCCTTCAGCAGAGATCCAATGCCAAAATCACTTTTCCAGGTGCGTGTCAGTGTTATTTTAATATTACATATGTTATTATGGTATTAAGCAATATTTTTATCTGTTTGAATTAGCTGTTATATTTTCAATTATTGATTTTAGTTTAAAGTCGGCATGAAACGGAGTTACGCTAGTCATTCCTTCCCTATTGTGACATGAGTGAAACTGCTTCTCAAACAAGAAAAAATGTATGGCAGGACTTAATTTTGTCCATGGGGAATTGAGTGGTGCAGGGAAGACGTCAAAGCCGAGAAAACTGAGGGGCCGTTTACACCATCGGTTTCAACTAAAGATGGAAACCGTTTTATGTGTTTGGGCCGTTCATTTATACAACAATGGCGTTTGAGGGCCTGCAGTTTTTGAAATGATACCGTTATCGTCTCTGTTTAAACTTAAATAATAATAAAAAAAAAGTATTTTATTTCTATAACATTTCTCTTTTTCATTTAGTTTCGAACTTGATGTACTAAAACAGCTAAAAAAAAAAAATATATATATATATATATATATATATATATATATATATATATATATATATTAAAAACTATGTATATAGACATATTAAAAAAATGACAAAACCACACAACAAAATCTCTGCAATTTTAACAAACAAAAATATTTTAAAATGGAAATAAAAAATAAAAATATTAACTAAAACTATAATAGTATCTCAATGATACTAAAATACCACTGCCCTGAAATAACTTTAGTTTGATTGACAGGCTGTTTTACCAACACTTGCTGTAGTCACCCGCTACACACTGCCAGTGAACTGGAGGAGCAGGACGTCATCGGGGTCCGCCGCGCCGCACAGAGACGCCTCCAAGCTGAGCTCGGCATTCCCGTGGAGCAGGTACCGATACCGGAAAACATCATGTTCAACAGCATTATTTATGGATTGCAAACAGCGGCTTGTACAGACAGGGCCTAAAATTAACACTCGCCAAATGCGAGGAAAATTCGCGTTAAGTATTTATAATGTGTGTGAGTTACTAGTTGGCAGATAATATTTGTATTAACTCTATCAATGAAATGTTGTGAGAACATGAACCTGAACGACTCTTGGGACAGATGACGGGCCAGTGCTGCATCGTGACGAGAGTTTAAGCCTTGCCAAATGAAAAATTCAAGTGAAAGGACTCAATTCATTACTCAACTCAACTCAACCTGCTGCCGGCTGTGTCCTAATGTTAATCAAACAACAAAAGACAAAGAAAAATCACTCACTGCCCATGACTGAATAACTTTTGCAACTTTAATAAGGATTAATCTACTTGTACATCTAATTTATACAGTTAAGACTATGCAGTGTTATTTTACTTTTGATTAAATTTCTGTCCCTGATCATTTTCACACAGGCACAGTCATAACTGCCTGCTTTTTTTTCTTTTTTTCTTGTTTTTGTTTCATGGCTGGTAAAAAAAAAAAAATCTTTATGGCCGGTAAATTTTCTTAAAGGGTTAGTGAAAATGAAAATTGTAAAAATGAAAATTATGTCATTAATGACTCTCATGTCGTTCCAAGCCCGTAAGACCTCCGTTCATCTTCGGAACACAGTTTAAGATATTTTAGATTTAGTTTGAGAGCTTTCTGTCCCTCCATTGAAAATGTATGTACGGTATACTGTCCTTGTCCAGAAAGGAAATAAAGACATCATCAAAGTAGTCCATGTGACATCAGTGGGTTAGTGAGAATGTGTTGGAGCATCGAAAATACAAAAATAACAAAAACTAGGACTTTATTCAGCATTGTATTGTCTTCCGGTTCTGTTGTGGATCCGCGTTCAGTGCCGCTGCTGACGTGTGTCTGGTGTGTGTGTGTGTGTGTGTGTGTGTATTCTGGTTCTGTTGTGGATCCGCGTTCAGTGCCGCTGCTGACGTGTGTCTGGTGTGTGTGTGTGCGTGTGTGTGTGTGTGTATTCTGGTTCTGTTGTGGATCCGCGTTCAGTGCCGCTGCTGACGTGTGTCTGGTGCGCCCGAGCTTCGATTACAGTCTGAGGGAGACGCACGCTGGAAACTAAACAATCTTCATAAACATGTCTAAGGATTTCCACACAGAGGAAGACTTGCATTTTTTTGCCCAGCCATATTTCTTTGAACCCAAATACACGGACGCACCAGACACACGTCAGCAGCGGCACTGAACGCGGATCCACAACAGAACCAGTATACACACACACACACACACCAGACACACGTCAGCAGCGTCTTTTGTCAGCAGCGGCACTGAACGCGGATCCACAACAGAACCAGAATACACACACACACACACACACACACACACACCAGACACACGTCAGCAGCGGCACTGAACGCGGATCCACAACAGAACCAGAATACACACACACACCAGACACACGTCAGCAGCGGCACTGAACGCGGATCCATAACAGAACCAGTATACACACACACACACACACACGCACACACACACACACACACACACACACCAGACACACGTCAGCAGCGTCTTTTGTCAGCAGCGGCACTGAACGCGGATCCACAACAGAACCAGAATACACACACACACACACACACACACACACCAGACACACGTCAGCAGCGGCACTGAACGCGGATCCACAACAGAACCGGAATACACACACACACACACACACACCAGACACACGTCAGCAGCGTCTTACGTCAGCAGCGGCACTGAACGCGGATCCACAACAGAACCGGAATACACACACACACACACACACACACACACACACACACACACACACCAGACACACGTCAGCAGCGGCACTGAACGCGGATCCACAACAGAACCGGAAGACAATACAATGCTGAATAAAGGCGTAGTTTTTGTTATTTTTGGACCAAAATGTATTTTCGATGCTTCAACACATTCTCACTAACCCACTGATGTCACATGGACTACTTTGATGATGTCTTTATTTCCTTTCTGGACAAGGACAGTATACCGTACATACATTTCCAATGGAGGGACAGAAAGCTCTCCGACTAAATCTAAAATATCTTAAACTGTGTTCCGAAGATGAATGGAGGTCTTACGGGTTTGGGACGACATGAGGGCGAGTCATTAATGACATAATTTTCATTTTTGGGTGCACTAACCCTTTAAGTCACTGGCCATTGGCAGGTGGGGCAAAAAGTGAGTTTTAGGCCCTGTGTTCTTGTTATCTCAGGTGCCTCCAGAAGAGATGACCTACCTGACCCGCATCCAGTACAAAGCCCAGTCAGACGGCGTTTGGGGCGAGCACGAAATCGACTACATCCTCTTCATGCAGAAAGATGTGGATCTGAATCCAGACCCCAATGAGATCCAGAGCCACTGCTACGTGTCCAAAGAGGAGCTGAAGGAGATCCTGGAGAAAGCCAAGAGGAAAGAGCTGGAGGTCACGCCCTGGTTCAGTCTCATCGCCGAAACCTTCCTCTTCAAGTGGTGGGACAACCTCCATAACCTCAAACAGTTCATCGACCACGACAGGATCCACCGCATGTAAGCACACACTTAGTTACTAAAGGACACTTAAACGGTTAATAGGCCATACGTCACACTGATAAACACTGGACGCTGATAAAGGGCTTGTCTTGTTAGAAAGCCTTTGTTTGTAAATGTTTGCACTTTTATTTAGCATTAAAGTTCTAGATTAGAACTTTAATCCACTTACACACTCAGCATTTGCCGTCTTTCTGTCAGAGGATTTGAGGAAGGATGGCTAACAAACACTTTGTCCATTTGTGTAAAGTGCCTAGTTTCATGGCAGAGACTTTGCTTTTGAGAGAATGTTTTGTGTTGATAAAACTATCAGGGCTCATGAAGTGGTTTACAATTATGTAAAGTAATTTTTAGAGAAGGAAAATAAAATTTGGTTTCTCATAGTCTCATTTATTTCAGCTCATTCATTACACCATTTTTAGGAAAGAAATATGGAAAAAATATGGTCCATCTATCCGTTCATTCATCCCTTATATTTTCCTCTCATAATAACATATAAAGCAAACATAAAATATTTATAAAATGTACGTATTGTGATTTGGTTGGTATGATTTTTTAAATGTTTTTGAAAAATCTTTTATGCTCAGTGTGAATATTTAATTGTCAAATACAGTAAAAACAGTACAATTTTAAAATGGGATTACAATTTAAATTTACAGGTTTTTTTATTTTAATATATTTGAAGTTTCATTACTCCAGTCTTCAGTGTCACATGATCCTTCAGAAATCATATATGCATATAATATGCTAATTTGCTGCTCAAGAAAAAAAACTTATTAATGTTGTAAACAGTTGTGCTGCTGACCTCAATACTTTGATATTGAATTTTCAGTAGTGTATTCATAAATAAAGTATGTTATACATATACTAATATATAATTAAAGGTACACTGTAGCTTTTGGCCCTCTAGTGGTTAAAAAAAGAAGCTGCATGCATTTTGCAGAAGAACATTGTTTTGGTTGTGCTTCATCTCTGTGTGACTGTTTATTAATATGATTATAATACTGCTCATAAAACATTCACTGCTAGCCTTAAGAGATAAAACCAGTTTAGATGAAGAGGACCTCAAGCTGACTATCTGAAGACGTTACTGTAGCTTTACCCATTAATAGATGCTGTACTTTCTTAAAAATAAATTCCAGCACAGCGCTACAACAACCGCAATGAAATGAGCTTCACAATAGATAATGCTTTACAGTCAACTCTGTTATAGAGCTACATATGGCAATTTATCTGTTCAATAAAATGCCATCTCTGCGTCACTTTTACAACATTTCAAATCCCTCAGTTCTCGCCATCTCTGAAAAGCCAAGCTAATGTTGATTCTTGTTTTATTACGAGCTCTGTGGCGTTCTCTTTCTCGTTTCACATTCGGTGTTTGTTTAAAACGGGTGATTCTCCTGAGGTTGGAGATTTAACCGCTCCATGTCAACCTTTCTCGCTCGTTGTGACAACTAACATCTGCTACTCTCACACCAGAGAGTGTCACACACCATTTTATCATTTACTAAAAGTAAAAGCACACCTCATTAATGTCCATAAAAACGGTGCAGGACAAGTTACTGCTCAAAGTGTATTATTAGTAGTCAAATCGAACTTAAATCAATATATCTAAGTATCAGTGGTAACATTGGATTCTTCTCTGATTTTTTTATGGAGTTCATACTTGATTTTATCCAGCAGATGACAGCAAACCCCTAAAAAGAGCCATGTAAACGTCACCACAGAAGCAAGGGAACAGACTGTACAAAAACCAACATAGGGCAAGAATATTATAAGAAACAACTGGGCAGTTTCCTTTTATGGTCCTGTTTCATCTTAAATATAAGTACTTAAGTGTATAAAACTATTAATAAATATGAAAATGGTAACCATTCATAGCAGCTCAACAATACACAGGTCTGTTGCTCCACTTCATGTGTTGTGGATATGTGTATTAAAGGCCATATATAGCTTTGTTTGTCATACCGAAGCTCTTCTGAGAACGTGCCACCTGTGCTGTGGTCTGCAAGATACTCCTGAGAGCTGTCAATCATCAAAGCAGCTTATAATAACTGCACTTTACCCATAATGCATGAAGCACTGACACTCTTCATA